GCGCCAGTCTAGACGGGATCTTTCGGAAAATAAAGCCTTTTCCGAAAGGTCCCTTATTCCTCTTAAAATCAGGAATAGGCTTTATTTTCCGAAAGATCCCGTCTAGACTGGCGCTTTTTTCCAGCAAAGCCCCGAGCCGGAAAAAAGCGGCAGCCATGTTCATGCAAATGCACAGGGGAAAATTTAAATCCCCGCTGCATTTGCAATTCCGACTTGTCTCATCTGCATCCCTTTTCCGGAAAAGGGGTGCAGTGTAGACACAGCCATAGATTTTAGAAGAGAGAATACAAATAATTTACTGCCAGCAAATAATCCAGTCAGGGCACAAAATAAACTTCTAGAAACTCTCTCAATTCTTAGATAACAGCTCCTACTTGAAAATTTAAAAAAAATATATAATTTAAGGATCTTGTGAAGAGCTTCAAAAGAATCTCACAAAACTAAGTGACAGGAAAACAAAATGGCAGATGAAATTCAATGTTGATAAAGACTAAGTAATGCATATTGAAAAAACATAATCCCAACTATACATATAAAATGACGTGGACTAAATCAGTTGTTATAATTAAAGAGAGAGATCTTGGAGTCATTGTGGACAATTCTCTGAAAACATCCACTCAGTGTTCAGCAGCAGACAAAAAAGAAAACAATGTTGGGAATTATTCAAACTGAGATAGAGAATAAGACAGAGAACATCTTATTGCCTCTATATAAATCCATAATACACACGCACCTTAAATATTACATGCAGATGTGGTTACCTCATCTCAAAAAAGACATTTTGGCATTGGAAAAGGTGAGAAAAGAGCAACAAAAACGATTCGGGGTATGGACTGGCTACCATATGAAAGATAAATAAGACTGGGACTTTTTAGCTTTGAAGAGATAAGTAAGGGGTATGACATAGGGATATAAGCGACTAGTTGAATAGCTTTCCCCCTCCTTTACTGCCTTTGTATCCGAGGCAGCAGGGGGAGGGAGGGAGCAGGAGCCAGTGCTGGGGGGAAGCCATCTTAAGAGCCGTTCCACCCAGCACCGTCTCCATGGAGCGAGAGGGCAGGAGAGACAAAGGCACAACAGGCGGCTCTTGTACATTTCAAAGACAGAGGTGAAGCGGAATAGTGAGCACCCCTTATCGACTAATCAAGTAGTCGATGGAAATTCCATCAACTATTAGATAAGCTGATTAATTGAAATTTAGCATCCCTAGTATGACAGAGGTCTATTAAATTGTGACTGATGTGGAGAAGGTGACTAAAGAAGAGTTGTTTACTCCTTCCCAGAACACAAGAATTAGGAGGTCACCAGATGAAATTAATAGGTAGCAAGTCTACAACAAACTAGACTTGCAATTATGAAAAAACAAACATATTTCCAGATACTATTTGTTCTCTAATTATTCTCTCTAATTAGATTTGAAAAACATCTTCAACTCCAAATGTAAATGCAGCTGTAAAAACAACCAAAAGGATGGATTTTATTTAGTTACAAATAAAAAAGAGAAAATTGCTTCACAAACATTTAAAATCAGTTCAAAAGAAGAGCTAAGAAATAAAATAAAGAATGAAGAAACAACAGAAGTGAAACAAGAAAGTATTATAAAACTATAAATAATAATAATATTCAATAGCATCAAAGGAATAAGACCAAATGAAAGAGTAGAAAGACAAGCAAAATAGTTACCATACCTTTATTTCTTCACACCTTTCAATGAGTATCATCAACTTCAATCTCACCCAAAGTTTAAACTTCATAAAAAGGTTTTATAAACTCATAACCAATTGAAGTGATTGTTTTATAAATTCTCAAGTTTTCTGTAACACTTTAAAATGCTAATATCTCAGCTGCAAACAGAAATTACATCAATGTAATAGACTGGTTACTAAATTAATTTAATTAAATTGATGCAAACTTCTTGTATAGCTACTCTTGTTTAAGACAGGATGATACTGTTTTAGCTTTGTTTGATTACATAAGTAATGCTGCTCCTTTTCCCTCTCTATCCCAAACCTTCCAGTTACCAACTATTCATATGAAAGGGCTTTCGCAAATCTCTGTGGAAGAGAAGATACAGCTGGGGAAAATATGCACTACTGTGTATATGCTTAATTAATGAGCCAGGTATTTTTTTTTATTTTATTTTTTTTACAGAAAAATGTTGCAGCTGCCTTTTGCCCACCAGAGGGTGCTATGGTGCTAGAACAGAACAGCAGCTCCCAGCAGAAGAAAACTTCAGCAGTTCTGTCTTTTGCCCACCAGAGGGTGCAACTCCTGGCAAGCCCTAGTCAGGGTACAGAAGATAAATATAGAGCCTGCAGATCCTTCTTCCAGCATGCCAGGTCAGGAGACAGGAGCAATGAGGAGATAAACAGTGTGAGATGCTGGAAGGAGTCAGACAGGGCTCATAAGCGCTAGAAAAGGACAGACTGAGGCAAGGGCTGAGTGGGAATGCAGGGCTATATAGGGACAAGGATACCCCTGAGTGGGGGCATAGGGACAAATGTGAACAGGGGCACATATGCTTTACTGACTGGAAGACGGTAGGGGGCAGCCAGGGTCTTCATGCGGGGAAGCTCGCTGGGAGTCCGTCCTCGCCTTCCAAAATACCTGTTTCATGCTTTTCCTGTCTCTACTAATCAACCCTCCAAGTTGACACCCAGGCTTCTTTTTCAGCAGTTACTTCCCTCTCCATTACTCTGACTCCCCCCAAGCTTATGCACAGCTTCTGAGGAGTGCAGGAAATACAATTCTACATTGTAGTTTAAAGGAATTCTTTCAGAGTTCTGTACTGTTATGCCTAGAGGGAATTTATTTATCAAAAAAAAAAAAAACCCATGTTCAGAATCTTTTTTTGTTTTCTATTGTTAGACATACTTGCTGGCAAGTATTTTAAAATATATGACCAAAACAATTGAAACTGCTGTGATTATATAATGTTATTTTGAAAAATAAGTTATGAGAAATTTTGCAGAATTTGAAAATACTCTGCATAGAATTTTTTTGGCACAGAATTCTACCACGAATAGAGAAGAATGTGTCTGTTAACTCAGATTTAACTTCTGGAGGGGCTGGGAGAGGGCAGTGCTCATCTCTCACCGTGCACTGAACCCCTGCAGGGTTATAATCCATTGAGAAGGCTGCCAAAGAAAGTCAACCTATTAGTCTGCTAAATGTTTCTAAAAGGCCCCCATCAACAGCAGTAATTAGAGATTAGACAGTTATCATAGATTGCCTAGTCTAAGAATAGGGGACAAACAGGTATAAATTAGCAAATGAGAACCATATGAGGAAAATATTTGAAATATTTATTACTGAAGGAACTAGATGGCTCAAAAATGATTACGAGAGAGACAGTCTTTCATGTGTATAGGTCTCTTAGTGAGAAAAAGTTGTTGCTATTCGACAGATGTTTGTCTAAGTCCAGTTCCCACATCAGAACCCGTGTTCGCAGCTGCAGTAGAAGCCAAGATTTTATGGAGATTGAACAATCCCTTCTTCATTAAAAATAAGAGATTCTTTTATTCTTTGCAAGGGAGTAAACTTACACTGCTGTGTTTGCACTGCATCTGTTTTGTAGATATCCAGGGAACTTCAATCAGGCACTCTGCACTTTAAAGAGATAAAATGGAGAGTGTTAAATTCATATGCACAGCACAGAGCAGCTCCTCCATCAAATAAAGCAGAAAATTAGATGAGACAGTATATGGTATCAAAGTTCAGTGATACAAGAGAGTCTGGAAAGCAGCTGTCTCAGTCAACTGCAGGAAACAGTATGAGATCAAGAGCTCCATTGGGGTGGGGTAATGCTCCTTGCTCTTCCTCGCCTTCCCCTCATGATCGGGGGGGGGGGGGGGGGCGGCGGAGCAACGCTATGGT